ATATTATATTATTTCACAAGCTCGATTTGCATCGCGCGCTATCGTTGTTGTTGTTATTATTCTACTGTGCAGGTGCATTGTCTTTGGATCGAGAGTGTTTCGATAATCGCGTTTTCAATAAATGCATAATAATATGTATGATGTATAGGTACCTTATATACGATATACCTACATCTAAGATATTATATTATTATTCTGTAGGTATATACGTTTATCGCCGATCGAGATTTTCAATTGTATGTCAATATTTGATTTTTGATCTTCTAACCTCCACCGGGCCCGCTATAATATGTACATAGTATATTATAATGATGGCGAGCGCTCGTGACGCAGTCAGACACAATACCTACTATACAATAGGTTTTGCAATATATTTTGACCCGGAGAAAAATGACAACGGTCACAGCGTAGGTACCAGCTACATAACGCGAATTGACGAAGTAGGTATACCGCGGTTTTTGGTGTAGGTACTACGCGTCACCTGTCGGAATTATATAATAATAATAATAATATTTTCTTAGACGTTTTGTAACCGCGGTCCCGGTCGATTGTACATACATCAGCTATTATATAGGTACCTACCAATATTTATACACATACCCACTCGCCGTCGCGGAAACGGGTCATGATGATGGAAACGCCACAAATGTCCGCCCAGAACCGGTCCGGCGTATTATATTATATATTACGTGTAGTATATAATGGTTTACGTATATAATAATATATAGAAGGGAGGAAAAAATCGTTTGATTCGCGAGATTCGCACCGCGAATCGAATTTCGTGCCGACTTGACGTTAACGTATTCCACGCCGCAACCTTGACTTATGTATGTGACAAACCAGTACCTCGGTAAAGGTATACGCGGCGGGGTCTTTGCCGCAGCGTTCCTATATATGTACTCGACATAATATATAAGCACTGCATGATGTGTATATAGCGGTACACGGGGGGTGAGGATAGAACGGTTCGCGCGGCGGCCTGCAGATTACGTCGTCTTCCTGATAACAAGACGCACAGAGTTATATTAACATTGACATTTAATAATAATAATACGGGACAAGTTCAAAGACCTTGCAACTGCAGTACGAGAAAACGATTATTTTTGTCGGATCGATATTTTTTTCATTCCATTTCTTTCGTCCTCTTATCCTCGGTGGGCATAAAACATATATGTACTTATATACATTCGCCGCAGCCCCGGTGGCAAACTCGTTTTCGAACAGAATCCGACTGCTCCACTGCTGAACCGATGCTATGCTCTTGCGTCCTAGCTGTAGACTCAGGGTTGGTGTATATCCACGTTAATACCTATAGAATAAATAAATATATATATATATATATGTACAATGCATTGGTATAAAACGCCAACGCGCTGCCGTTTGGACCGTGCATATAGTATATAAAAGTTGGCCAGGTGGTTGCAGTCGTATAGGAATGCGTCTCGTTTTCAAAACGGATGTACGATTTATAAAATCCATCATCGTCCCTCGAGTGGTGGACGGTCCTAATGGTCTATCGAGGTCGGAGGTGTTTTTTTCTTCGACGTTCGAAAAACGCGGGTGTAGCATTCGGTATTATATTATTTATTGCTAGTAAGTTCCCAGTCGTATAAATACCATAAATAATAATTTTGATTTTTCTTCTTTTCTTCCATTTATTTATTGTTGTTACACCGTGTTATTGATAACTGAATAGTACATCCCTCAACATTTAAAACAATTATTCCAGGAAAATATAGTAAAATCCATGAGAACAAACGTATTTTTAATTTTTTTTATATTGGAAACATCACAAGAGTTCACACATACATTTTTAATTGAAATGAAACAGACCCCACTGAAATCCTCATTGGGGAAAAGAGAGGTCCTCGTGCGTACCTAGCTCAACGATATTGTAATGGTATATCTATACGTGCAGACGTGCAGTACCAATACATCATATTATTTTTAGTACCTACCTGTTGCGGAGGCGAGCTTATCCGAATTACGCTGTAGGATATACCACTCGTTATACTTTATACATTATTATACGTGTACTGCACGCTCTTCATAGTCATTTATGCTAATCGCCGTCGTCGTCTCGCGTATAGTATTATCTATTTACACTGGTGCATAGAATGCTGTTATTATAATATAATATTATTATATGCGTCTGTTCGAGTGTACGCGTTTGGTAGGTATATATGCGTAAAAACAACGGTCCACCGATATCGGACAGTAGGTGCGTGCGTATGGGTGGTGGGTACACACACTACACGTGACAAAAGCAGTCACGATTTCACCTCGACCGGTATAATATGTGTATAAACGCTATATTATATCGCACATAAATATATATTATTATTGTACATTTAGCGCCGTAATTTTTATAACTTTATTTTTTTTATTCTCGTTCGCCGCCTCGCGCCTAACGCTCGAATAACGATAAATGATAATATAATATATTATTATTATGTACGACCTGTCTGGGCGTCCGGTGACAAAGACGAGAAACGAACGACGTCTCAGTCGCGGCTGCTGTATCCATCGGCCGATGCACACGGGCGCACATTACGCGATCGTGACAATTTTCATATACAGGGTGATTTGGCTGACACTCGCCATCATTATACACGTGGTCGCGTACTACAGCATGCTGTCGTATACCATATAGATGCAGTTTCATACACTCGTATTATATCGAGAAACTATTGCAAACTGCGCCGGCTGTATCGTTTTCTCATTTGTCATCGGTCTCGCACGACTTCTATGTATAATATATATTATATTATTATCATTATCATTATATTATTGCCCCGAATCGCTTTTGTGTGTGTGTGTGCTTGTGCTTTCCAGTCGTGCTCCGTCGTCACACGAGGGGAACTACACACTGCCGCGGCGATTGCAAAAAAATAAATCCTCGTTACACTTGAACAAATACGCGCGCGCGGACCCCCCGCGGGGGTGTTATATACCTCAGATATTAATAATATGACGACTGCAATTATTTTGTGGTTATCGTCGCGTCACTCGTCGTCGTATTATACATTGTGCATGGTAAGCAAAAATGTTTGCGTATTTTATTATGTGGCATGTGTGCTGTAGGTTATGTACGTGCGAGTACACGGGATTGGCACGGACCGAGAATCTGCGGCATCCAAACCGGAATTTCCTTTGTCGGTATGACGGTAATATACGCGACGGCGCGTATATATTATATTATATTATTATATTTTATCATTATTATTATTATTATTATTATTATTAATATCGATAGCTGCACACACACACTGCGTTAAGTGAGTCATTAGTGATTTTTATTTTTTTGTTTGACTTAACGCTCGCGAGTAATAATATCGATGCCGATGAGTCACCCTCGTGAGTCTTAACTGAACGCGGCCGATATTTCACCTTGACTCTGTCGCATACAATGTTAATACGCTGTACGATATATTATTTTATAACCATATTAATAATATGATTTACTGCAGCGGCAGACCCTTAGGGCCCCGCCGCACAAAGTTGCCCGCAAGACCTTTATTTTTATCGAACACAGAAATCCATTATTGTTTATTTTGTATTGTGTATATACGAACGAAACGGGTATTCTTCGTCGATTAATAGTCTTTTAACGTTTCAATACCATTATATTATATATAGGTACTTAAAATATTTCAAACTCACTTTTTCGTACCGCCTCGAACCCTTATCCGTTCGGTTAATAATAATAACCGCTCCTATCACCACGCATCCTTCAAGTACACCTCGACGTCGTTGTTTCATCCTGCACTTTGTGCCGACCGTTTCGTTTAAAGCGTTGGAGTAGGTACATTATATATTATATTATATAATAATAATATAATAGTTATGTGTACAAATGCGTTGCTAAGAACGCAGTAATTGTTTTATGTATTTTTCATTTGGTTTTCTAATTTTGTTTTAATTATTGTTTTTATCACCGTGCACGGTGGACAGTGGCACAGTGCAGTACAGTACATACTGTCACAGAGTAATATAATACCAGATAACGAATATAGTGCGTTCGAATTATGGCCTGAACACTTTTCAAGATATTAATTATGTGTAGGTGTCTATGACATGAGCGGTTGAATTCGTGGCTTGCGCGGTATATCGTATACCACCGTATCCACAGTGCACACAAGCACTGCTCCTACATTCCGTTCGGCGTTCCGAAACGGACAATGATAAATTCGTGATCACTATATTTTACGGGCTGTACAATAATATAATAATAATATTGTAAATATATATTGCACGAGCAAACCGTTCACCCCTGCCTGTCCACCAGCACGTGTTCGGCCGGTCGCGTTCAACTATTTTAACAACCATATTATGTGTTTAAACAATACATACCTACCATGTGTCCATGTTATATACGAGGCGCCAGCCATATACGATACAATATAATATAGCACTCTCGGCGGCCGTATAAATACATCACGTACCTGTGAATATAGTATATGTAACGCGGTCATATACAGCGCAGCGGATCGTCATCCCGAGAAACGGCTAGCGACGGAGAAAAAAAAATTTCGTCCGACAATGGAATCGTGTGTGCAGAATATTGTCGTCTTGCACCTATTAAAGGACGTTGTCGAGTGGTGGAGCACACTACAGCACAGGTACAGCGAATTTTAGTCTCTTAAAACAATTTCAATAGCAGTGAACCAACGACCACGGCGGCGAGTCGTGTGCACTATAATATATCATATTAAATACTACGGATTGTGGGTACAACCCCTCCCCCCCATCAGGGGCGCACCCAGGATTTTTTTTTGGGGAGGGCTAAATTCACATAATTTTAATATTAATAGGTAGTATTTATTTTTAAATATGTACAGAAATCTTTAAGCTTTTTTACAATCTTTTACTAGCAAATTTTTTTTATTTTTGTCCCGGTTTTAAGTGTCACCGTAGCCTTGATGTTATACCTGTAAAACATAAATATTATTTATTTAATTATGAATAATATAATGATTATTTTTTATAAGTCTAACCTTTTAAATTATAAAGTTGAGACGCCTTGGTCCTTTTTTCCCCAATACTGAGAGTACTTCTGAAGTTTGAACATCTATTTCTCTGTGAATATGAAGCATAGCTAATCCATTCAGTCGATTCTGACTCATTGTATTTCTCAAGTATGTTTTTATTCTTCTCAAAGTGGAAAATGATCTTTCTGTTGTACTGGTCGAAACAGGCAATGTTGAGAATATTTTTAAAAGTGTAAATATAGTTTCAAATAGAGTATCATTACACAAATTTAATGCATCGATTGCATTATGTGGTAATGAATGATTTGGGCATTGGAATTTTTGATACCATAAATCAAATTCGGCTACTGCAGCGTTAACACCATTTTCTGGTATATCATTTTTATAAAATTCTAAAAGTTTTAAATACTGTGATTTTTCTGTTTGATTAGGAGAATTTCCAGTTGGTAAAAGACACTTAAAACTTTTAATAATACATTTATGCTTTAAAAATCGGTCGGATATATTATTTATAAAATAATCTAGCCATGGAATAAAAATGGCACGTCTATAATATTCTTCTTCATTTTCTGCTGGTACATTGCATCGTTTGGTTTGATTTTTTGTTAATCTGGGCATAGTAATTGTTAGTTCTAAAGCATTAGCAATTTCGTTTGCTTCGTCGAAAATTATTTTAAATTCATTTTCAACATTACTTCGTATCTCACGAAGAACGAATACTACACCGTCTACGTTATTCAAAGCCTCTGAAATATCTAAATCACTCAATTGAAGAATTTTACTGATTGGTAAAGTATAACTTAAAAGTTTCTCTGCACACAATAGTGAAATAATAAAACTTGATTGTCGAATTCCACTTAACAGTAAGAACGCATTAGACGATGAGTCTGTACAATTCCATGACTGTATTTCTTCTAAAGCTGCAACTACAGGCAACAACATTTGTTTCATTATAATAACCGAATCATGACGTTCAACCCATCTGGTTGGACAAAGTTGCTTTAATTTCGTTTTATTTGAATTATAAGTTGATGTTTCGATATTATTTTGAAGGACATTTTGCCGTTTCGGGGTATTAAAAAATGTATATATTTTTTGGATAATGCCAAAAGCATTTCTAATTGGAACTACTTCAGCTGCATTTGATAAAGCTAAGTTTAAACTATGTGAAACGCAATGTACGTATATTGCAGTTGGGTATTTATTTGAAATAAACGCCTGCACGCCTTTAAATTGGCCGCTCATAGAAGAAGCACCATCATAGCCTTGCCCACGTAAAAAGTTTAAATCAATCCCAACATTGTTTAATGTTTCTAAAAGAACATCTGCCAAGTTTTATTGATTTTAGTGACTAGTTTTTGAATAATTATTTCATTACATGCTTCAATAATTTGATTTTGTATATTCCAACTTATATAAGTAGCATTTTTACCACAAGTTTCAAAATGCTTTTTTAAATTTTCATCACCTGATTCTATTCTAGCCCTTAATATAGCACGGAAATTACCCTCATTTTTATTGGGCTCTATTTTTGTATCAAAAACTCCATAATCTTCATGCGATCTTAAAGACAAATTTTGACGCCCACATAAAATTACTGTTTTTATAATTGGTTTAAGTTTCTCCGAATTCTCTAAGGCTTGTTTTTGTGAATCTTTATCAATTTGTTTATTGATTGGTAACAATTTTCCACTCATAATATCAATAAAAGTATCATATTTTAAAGTAGCATCTTTATGATAGTTTAAAAGTAAATGTTTTTCAAATCGTTCTAAAGCATTTTTCCAATTATTGTATCCTGTTTTAACTAATTGATTAAGCGCTTGCGAAGAACAGTGGCCAGCATTTGAAGGGGCAAATAAAACACACATCTTACAATAGACACTATTTTCCAAATTCGAATAAGCCAACCATTTATATTTTATTAACCAAAATCGATTAAATTTTCTATTTTGAGAACCTATTTGTTGAGTTTTAAAAGTATAACTATTATCGGGAACCCACATATTTTTAATAAAATTAATTTTTTCATGGTCACTAATTTTTTTGTTTACATATAAAGATATATCATATTTTGGTACTATGTTATTACCGTCATTTGGTTGAACATTACATTCATTTGATGTAGCTGTAGCATCATTATTTATTGCCGATGAACTGTCTATAGCAACTGATCCTTTTTGGACTTCTGCAGGTGTGGTGTGTGACCCAACTTTAAAATAATTTAATAATGATCCAGAATGATTACGTTTCATTATATTAAAATTTTAAATCCACTTATTTGAATAAACAAAAAACAATTAACAATTAAAAATGAATAAATAAATAAATATAAGCTCGCGAAAAACCAACGATGTCGACTTGAACAGTTGTACGACAGTCGACAATACTAGTTAATCTGCTAAATAAGTAATAAAATGAAAGTGGAGTTTGTTAACGCAAAGATACCTGCAGTTTGCGATAATCTAAATTATATCGATAAAAATGTATAATCTAGACGTTTCCGGTATCCTACACAGTACACAGTTTCAACTAACGACGTCGCGACGATAATAATAGACAACAGAGGTCTCTCCCGGGGCCCGGAATGACAGGTATAAATATAATAAAATTATAAAATCAATGATATAATATAATATTATGTTATACCTAATGTTTCAATTTCGATAGTTGATAATTTTTTTTTATAACAATTTAAAGTAAAATGTCAATTTGTCAATAAACCTAATAAAATTATCAAAATGTTTGGGGCTAGCCATTTGGGGGGGGCTAAAGCCCGTTAGCCACCCCCTTGGGTGCGCCCTTGCCCCCCATCCAGAACAGAGATTTTTGTACCCGCCGTCTGGCCGTGATGATTTCAATAGTAAAAACAACGTTCTTCGGTATGAGTCTTTCACACAAAAATGTATTCGGCACAATAATAATATACTCGTTGACAAAATGTCGTACATATACTGCCCGAGTTGTCATTCGCATCTGTTGTCGTGATGTATTATTCCGAGTACCTACTGTGGGAGGTGGTGACAGGTGAATGTGCTCTCCGAGTTCACCTAACAATATATTATAATATCTCTAATAATATCGCACGTGAATAGGTCCGGTACATATTTCGCAACCCTGCGACCCGCAGACGCGTTCGTTTCACCGTTATATCAACACCGATTTCGATCTGCGGAGTTTTCTCCCGTGCGCTGTGTCATGGCCGATGCGGATAACGGACAGACTTTTATTATTCTATTATAATATTATATGGTCTTGTATACAACAGAGGTCTATGGTATTCTAATTATGGGCTCGCATGTGTTATGGTCGCGTAGTTTCGGGCAGAGGATTCTTCGACTATGACCGACCGACCGCCGCGGTATAGTGATTCGAGTCTTTGACTTTTGCATTCACGACATTACAGGATGTTGTGTTTACGCCAAGGCACTGTCGTGTACAAACGTTCCATTTTAATATAATATAATATGTACATATTATTTTCGGGTGAGCTTTTACTGACGATAACCTTCACACAATACGACATTATATTATGTGTATGCTTAAGCGTATAATTATATCAGGTGGCCGGCTGTCACGACCGCGGTAGTTGTTGTGCGGTAGCCGACCCTCTATATACAGCATATACCGACCGTTTCTCAAGTCGTATGTATCATATTATTATTGTTGTAGTTTGGTGCTATTGTCGTCAGCTGATCACGATTTTGGGTCTTTCCGGCTGCACCGACCGATCGAGTGATCAATTATTGTTCGAGCGCGCGAGGAGCAGCGTTCATGCGATAATATAGCTGCTACGAGGCAGCGTATGGATTAATGCTGCCGCAGTCTTTTTAACTCTCTCTCTTTCAGAATATATATAATAATATATTTGTGTACGTAATATGTCTTATTTATCGCTAGAGTTGTCCATATGGTTTTTGCACCATATTTTTGTATCTGTAACCTCACATCGATATTGATTTTAATATATTATTATATAAGTATACGATTCCAGTGCGACGGATACTCTGTTTCGACTTTCGAAGACTCGGCATAATATTACTCGCACGCTTTCGTACACGTTCTACTTTAACATTACAAATAAATGCTGTCATTAACACTATGAACAAAAAACAATTTTCAAAATGATAGCGATGATGAATTTTAAAGTATAGTTCGCAACGAACTTCCAATTAGTCAAATAATAAATATTGCCAAAAAACGTCAATACTTTTCCGAGAACACGGGTGTTTACCTTTAATTGAATCACCTTGCATGATGGGTGCTAAGCTGAGATACGCACAATGCACATAATAGAACGCGACGCGTGAGAAAATACGTCTGCCGTGGTGGGTTTTATTTTTCGACAACAAACACACAATGCATGTCATGTACATTATACTGCGACGACGACGACGACGACGATGGCGACAGTGCGCGCATTACATATTATTATTTATACACCAACGTCCGCCCGTCGAGTGTTTTTGCACACTTTGCACGTTATTATTATACATTATATTTTACATGCAAACAGATAGAAAGCGATCGTCAGTGCTCCCATCTCGATGGCCGCTCACAGTTAATTATTATTATTTCTACTGCTCTTCTCGGCCCGGTGAGTGGCAACGGACGGACCCGTGACATTTATATATTGTTATCGTGTGTAGGAAAAAAAAAGAAAGTGAAAATCCGCGGACGGACGTACCCACGTATACTTACGCATTATGCTATATTATGCATGTATAATATAATATGGGAGCTAAAAGTACACGTGTTTAATATAATTCGTTTCGTTTTGCGGTGTTCTGAAAATGTTATCTCGCTAATTGCTGCCAGGCTATACCAACGAGCACCGTGTAGCGCGTGCACATTATTATAATATCATTACGCGCGTCATATTGTGATATTTATCATTTTATCCACACGCGGTTTCGCTCTCGCGCGCACCCCTACTCGCGCCCGTCATTAGCCGGTCGGGGGCGTAACGTTCCGGAACGTATTCGGCCGTTACGGTGTAGAACGTTTTGTGATCGGTTAAAATGTATATTATTTTTGATATCACCCACGGTCTTCGCTCTCTCAGGCACGGCACTAGAATTTTTTTCCAGGGGGGGCAGAGTGGGGCAACTATTTTTTTTACATGGGCTAAAATTGTTTCAACAAATGCTGAGGTTATTTAAATGAAATATAAATATTTTCGTATCATATAACATAATATAGCTATTAGCTATATAGTACATACGTTTTATATTGTATGTTCTAAACGTCTAAGCATATAATATTTACAAACTTTTGAATAGTTAAAAATATTTTAAGAATAATATCAAATATTTTTTTTGTACCTTTTGTAATATGTAAGAAAATGTTTAATCACAGACCTAAGACCTTCAACAACTATATTCATAATGATAACATGATTTACAAAAATAATAATTTCTTTATGAGCTAAATATTGATTTTTTATACAATATCTGTTTATGCACCATACAGTAAATGATTGAAAATCTTATAATATTGAAAAAGTTAACAAAAATGTATACAATTGCACTGATATCAGTAGGAATACAATTAGTTTTAAATAAAAACTTTTGATTACCTACCTTATATTTAACTAGTACATTTTAAATTTTTAATTCAATACATTTTTAAATTGGTATTTGCATAGAAGTGTATGTAATATGTATTGACTATTGAAGTACCTACTTTATATTTTTTGTATTTTTCATATATACAAGGTTATATACAAGGCATATATACATTGGCATATATACATTGGCATGTATACATTAAAACATAGATACTTTAAGAAATCCTTTTTTATTAATTATCAAGTAATATGTGAACTAATTACCATGACAAATAAGATTATAAAAATAACAAAATAAGAAAATTGAATAAATTATTTAATTATTTTAAATAAGAAATTTGTCATGCTAATTACTAAACTAATATAAGTAGGTAGGTACATTACATATTTACATTACATTACTCCTTAGACAATAGTATTGTGTTATAATCAAACATAAACATATTTAAAATAATAAGTCAACTAAAAATATTTTTAACTGTATACAACAAACATTAATTATATCGTACATATTTTTCAGTGGGGGGGCTGGCGAGGGGGCTGATCTGTTTTCTGGGGGGGGCTAGAGCCCCACCTTGCCCCCCCTTGGCGCCGTGCCTGCGCTCTCTACATTTTCACTTGGTGTAAGGATGTCCTATACATGAGATCTCCACCCCCTGCCGATTCTCTACAAGAGTCGTAATTTGTCTCGACGGATGAAAGATTCAATTTTCCTGAGGCGGCGGGTCGAGTATCGGTTATTAGGTGTAAATCGTCTAGCATAATATATATTTATTATTACTATTAGCGGACACCGCGTCGGGGAATGGACTCAAATTAAAAATTCCGCTGTCGGCCGCGGCAAGAGCGTAAATCGCTCTTCCAACGTACAGGTCGACGAGTGTACTAAACACTTTTCGTTTTATCGCGTGGTGCCAAAGTTTTATACTTTTAGACGGTATAATATATTTAGATTAATATAGTATTAAAAAAGCTCTGTGACAGGTGCACGCGTTTACCTATATGCTTATACGATCCATATCTCATAATTTGCAGCGTTCGATGCACACGCAATATAATATTTATCATACGATCGAAACAAGACGATAATAATATTATAGTATCCGACACCCGATGGAGCTCTAAGGAGGAGAGTCATTCGATACAGTGGTTTGGGTCTACCGTATACGCTGGCGGGCTATTTTATTTTTAATCATATTTATTCATATTTAAGCGTATAATATTAAATTGTTACTAATAACAATCATTGTGAGCACAGCACGGTGTATTATATGTTACAACATTTGAATCCCTTGAAACATGTACCGTCGCCTCACGTGCAGCGCATAATAAAATATTATAATATCTTATATTATAATAAACCTCTACAGTATTATGTTATCGCGAGATCACGTTATTGGCTAATGTTTCGAAATAGAAGTTACGGTTTGAGAAAAATCGCGCGTCTAACCACTTAACGTCGTCGTCGTACGCGTAAATTATACGCAAATGTGAATGAAAAAAATCTTAAAATCGAACCTCGACCGTTCCGCGGCGCGCAAAACTTAAATAATATTGTAATTTTAAATATATCGTGACGATCCCGTTTCGTCGGTGGTAGCGTCCGCATAATGTTGTGTGTGGTGTAGTACCTACCTATACCTACCTACCGTATATTATGATACAGCACAGCAGTGTATTATCAGT